TGACAATGACGTTTTAACGAAGCCCATTGAAAATAAAACTTATATTTTTAACTGATCCTCACTGCTCATGTGAGGCAGTCCTCACTGCTCATGTGAGGCAGCCCTCACTGCTCATGTGAGGCAGTCTCAACTGCCACTTGACTGCCTCACATGACTGCCACTGGAGGCAACGGCCTGGAAAGCCATGAATGGACGCCACGCTTCACGACGCTCGGCTAATGAAGCGGGAAATGACGCACCGCATTTAACATTATATGATGTAAAATAATGTAATATTATATATTATAATATAATATAATATAACATAACATAATACAATATAATATAATAACGGTTCCAGCGTTTCTAATTCGACAACTCTGACTGAACATCGCAGAATTTCAAAGCTTGGTGTGCGTCTCGAACACACAACTCACTGCCCAACTTTTAGTGTTCAGAACTTTAACCAAAACGCCTCAGCCTCGCTAGTCTTGTTAATCACTTAAAAGAAGCAACGATACCATGTGCGAATGTAAAATAATTACTATATTTTAATGTTTAAATATTTATATATAAATAATATTATTATGCTGGCTTAACTAACACTCATAATACTTATATTTTGTGTCGAGGATTATGATACTTTCCATAAATATTGCACAGAAATTAAAATAACTTTATGAATGCTAGGAACATTTTTTATATGAATTTAATGTGTTTTACTAAACCCTCCTATATTATAAACCCTCACTGGTACTCTGCAACCTTTTTAGTTGCATAACATTCAATTACCATCTTCATCAACGCCGCTCATTTTCGTATAGAATCGACTCTACTTCTATTAACCACATTTTTGAATATTTTGTATTCTGTGCCGCTAGTGCGACAATATTCAACTTCAACCCTGTACGTTTAAAAAAGTTCATTTCTTTGCTATTTCGATAATTAATTTAAGGTAAAGGCACAAGTTAGTGGACGGGCGAAGACATTAACGACAGCGTTTTTAATCACAGCACCTATACGTTGCAAAAAAAATTATCGCGTGTAAAACTTCCGAAACAAGTTTCTATGTAACCTACAACCCCAACCGTAGATAGAACCCGACTTGCAAAAATCAAACATGCATGTTAACGGCTATTAAATCGACATTCTTCTCTAGGTTTAGATATTTTTATCAACCGCTACTGATAATATAATAATAATATATTATAATAATAAGATAATAATAAGATAATAATATATTATAATAATAATAATATGTTATAATAATAATATAACTCACCATCTTTGCCGAGCGTTCGAACGTCGCTTATTCGCATACAGCATTTCCCGTAATCGGCCCTTCGTTGTTTAAATTATAAAAGAGAATATTCATAAAAATTAACACAAATATCATAATTACAGACATTTTAACATTTACATTTTGTCCAAATAATCATACCACTAAAACCTAGTGAAAGAAAATAAATACGGATAGAATTCAGCTTATTTACACTTTTTCACACGTCCAAAATCCAGTAAAATATTATTGACCTCGAGGAAAAATCTTTCAAAAGTAACGGACGTTAATAATAAATACATCAACACTGGCTTTAAAAATACCATAAAAATGATTTGCACAAATTCTTACATCAATACCTAAGGAAACGAGTCCGAAGACGAAGCAGATTGTGGTCCCAGCCCTGACCATGACTGCCTGGTCACATGTTGCGGTTTGCCCACTCGCTGCAGACTATATACCACCTATAATGAGCTGCTGAACCCACCCCTACCCACCTACCCAATTAGATCCGGTACCCCATTCATTCTTGATCGCGTTACAGCTTTTTCCATCCTGGACTACCCCTGCCCACCCTCCCACATTCTCTTCCCAGCGCTGTAACCTTTTCATTTAACCTTTTTCGAATCAAGTGATAGTATCCTCGATCGTCGGGAGCACTACTGATGACATCATACATCCTGTATCGTTTGAGGCTCACTGTGTGCTCAGAAAACATATTACGTGTATTACGTGTATATGCGTCGTGGTCTAACCCCTGTATACTGTGTACTGTGAGAGCCCTTTTGTGTGTGCGTCATGTACACCTGTATACTGTGTGGAGTGAGAATGAAAACCCATTTGTATGAGCGTCATGTATAAACCCCTGTATATTGCGTAAAATGAGATCCCTCCTGTTTTATCATGTTTTAAACCCTGCATTTTGTGTACTATGAGAACCCTTTTGTGTGTGCGTCATGTTTAAATTCCTGCATACATATACTATGAGATCCCTCCAGAGTGGATCATGTCTCAGCCCCTGTATACTTGGACGAAAATAACCCATCGTTGTGTGCATCCGCGCTCAACTACTGTATATATTGTTTACTGTGAGAACCCTTCTGTTTGTCCGTCTTGGTTCAGCCCCCATACACTGTATTACCTTGTAGTGAGCGTCTGAAAAATGTGAATTTGAATTTTAAAATAATGCTTATTCAAGACAATTGTAAATGTACCTAGTTAGCCTGCACATACGTCTGGTGGTAATATTAAAATAGAATAGAATTTCATAATTCGAAAATATCAACCTTAATGTTTGTCGAATAATAGTCTAGACTTTACCCCATATGCAACACTACCACGAGATGCGAGATGGTAGCCGATTCATATGCTTGGTGACATTTCCTTGTTAAACTTGCGAGTACAGAAACTGGGGTGAGAATCGAGCAAACTTAATTATTGGCTCAATACCTACAACGTTGTTATCTTCAAGTATAATTATGCCACTGTTCTGGATTACGGTGTTCCGGTGCATTCTGCTATACTTCTAGTTCTGTGACTGAGTAAAATTTTTGCATGCTGAGGCTGGGTGTTGCTGGAGGGCTCATTAAATAGGTCATCTACCACTATAAAGGAGCAAATACATGAACTTTATCACCTGAATTAATCCAGCTGAAAATTGCAGAATATTTATCGCTTGAGTTAGTATCATCAGTAAATCGTAGGAGCTAAAACACATTGCAGATCTCAGTGCCGAAAGAAACTTGGCTGGCAAGATCAAGGCAGACCTCTACAGAGGCGCCAAGCTATCTGGCGAGTCCAATAAAAAAACCAAGCTCAAAATATTTTCTCGCTAATTTTTTTGAGTTAGCAAACCATAAAAGGGGTAGCGCTGTATGTGAGCTAGAGATCGGTATGAGCATCTAGACCGTGCAATTAGCATGCTGCCTGTGGATTTAGTTTTGGTCCAAGTATTCTTCAGAGACAGCAACGATCGAGATAGCAATCGAACCCATCTCAATTGCAAATCTTGTTACCGATAAGCCAGTATACTTATGGGATTTTTTATATTTGTTTGTGAGTGGTCGCACGCTGGATGCCGTGGTTCAGGTACGTGGTTCTATTTAAGGACTTGAAGTCATTCGGGCCACCTGAGGTCGCTCCGTAGGCAGGATGCTACTGAATTTATTGCATTTCTTAGTTTTATACTATTAATTTTTTAACTGAAGGTCCGGCACAAACAGACTAGCGTGTTTTTAACTGCAAAATAAAGAGATTTGCAGGATCGTAAATGTTGTCCCATATATGACAGAACTTCCTCGTGACAATGTGTGTTTAGTTTAACCGAAAATGTTTCTAAATTTAAACGAACTTCTACAAAAACATTCTATTTTTTTCATTTTATCCGTTTTCGGCGTACACTTCATTTTTGTGCGATAATGAAAATAAACCAGATAAAAAGCACCATTATATTTTTCTGTTCGTTACCATGATTTTCTCAATTAACTATATTTGGGTCCGATATACATATAACAATTTTCCCACTATTAATTTTTAATACTATACTAGTAAAAGAAAATTATTCGTTCGAGAACCTTACCTTACCTTATTAGAATTAGCAGTAGTTAGTAACAAGTATATATCAGTATTTTTTATCTCGTTCTTCTGATTTACGTATAAATTGTAGCGATATATATACTTTTTCATGTTTCCTGTAGTTTTCATCACGTGTCAAGAAATTAGTTTTCTTATCGATAGTTTTCCAGGTGTCAGGGTAAAAAATAGTTTTCTCCTTGTTTCAAAATAAGGTTTCAAGCGATATATATTTTGTTAAGCTTGTTTTCTTTACTTGTGTAAAATAAATTTCTCGGTCAGACTATGATTATAATAACGCCATCGCTGTTTTCTGTTCTACGATCCCAGCGTTGCTCTTTTTGGGAAGTAGTTATTTTATGTTGCTATGAGTTATTTTCTCAATAACATAAGAGTTAATTTCGCTAGTTTACTGTTATTTTACAAATTGTTGAATAAGTTTATATCTCGTTTAGCATATACCTAGAAGCTGTGTGTCCATTGTTGCTACATGCCGGGCAGCCAAAAACTTAGTAACCACATGCCTGATTGCCGCATGCACTTTAGTTATATTATCATATTACTATACATATTATCTTACTACATAGTATCATTTCTTTCTTATGATTCTTTTCATTCTTTATTTTTATTACTAATTTACTCTATTGATATTCAGATATTATGTTAATATTATATGTATGTTTTTGCAGCATTGCTCTAGATTTTTATTTTAGCGATACTCTGTCCCCTACCCACATTGATTATTAATATTAAAATTTTATTTTACTATCTCATCCATGTTTATTATGATTACTCAAATTAGACTTTCCCACGCTTTCTCTAGCTTCATTTCCAATTATTTATTTACGATCCCCTCAATAATTAAATTCATTTGAAAAAATGTTGAATTACGTGTTAGAAATTCTAAATTTTTCCCAACTAAACTTTGAAACTAGCCTGACATATTCCCGAATGCTAACTGAATTTTAAATTTAACAATATTTCAACTATTCTTTCAATTCATTAAGCACTTGTATTGCGTATGATGTAATCAAACGTTAAATAATTTATCTTAAGCACAAATTCAAGAAGAGAAAAACAAATTAAATTCTGAAAGTTTGCACCAGAAATTATAAATCGCATTTCAATGGCTCGTTAGATATAAGTGAGTCCCAGAAAAAAAAACAATCCATGACAAAAGCAAATGTAAATGCAGTCAATTACACAAGCAAATGCAACCGCATTAAATGACACTAGCAAATGTAAACGTAATCTACCTCATGGTTGCTCGAAAATTTATCCATGTTCTTGCTAACGACATCCACAAGCATTTACGACCATATCTGAGAACTTTTTGAGAATAATCCGTCTATCCTCGTCATAATGTAGCACAGTGAGGGAAGTGTACGACGTGGGCACGCAGTATGGCGGAGATACGTTATGTGGGGAAGAAACGTCGTTCTCTCCGAGGTTATGGATGAGGCTTCGCAGTATCGCGTGGTTTGAGGGATTAACGTCCTGGGTCAGAGGGAAAGAACAGCTTCCTGAGCAGAAGTAAGCATCAAATGATGTTGGCGCAATAATCCACGACCAGCCGAGGCGTGCGAAGTCAACGCGCAACGGCTCTCTGCTGCAGGCACTCGAGTTCTGTTGGTCGTCGACCAGCGATCGCTTGCTTCGGGGCAATGAACGCACTGTTCACGGTGAGAAAAAACATGTTAAGATGAATCCTTTCGCATATGAGCTTCCTAAAAACATGTTAAGATGAATCATTTCGCGTATGAGCTTCCGAGTTATAACAAGAAAAACATTTTAAGATGAATCCTTTCGCATACGAGCTTCCAATTTACAAAAAGAAAAACAATTCATGATGAATCCCTTCGCATATAAGCTTCAGGATTACAAAATATTTGTTACGATGAATCAGTTTGCACATGAAGTTCCTATGTACAACCAGAAAATTATGTTAATATGATTCCTTTTGTACAAAATTGGTGGGTGTCTTTTTATTTATTAAGAGTAGTTTCTTTACCCTAATATCCACGGGTAGTCAATACCTTGATACATCAACTAAAACGCATTATTATAAATTTGTCGTTCAAATGCCAAGCATTCACTTGCTGAAAAATAATTAAATTTATATTAATAAAATAATTCATGACTCTGACTAAGTTAAATTAACGAATATATCGATTCTTCAAATATGTAATCGTTTTGAGATTGTTTGAAAACTTAAATTATATACTTTAATCGATCTACCGTTTCTTTTCCTTTGACGGAAAAGAAACGTTCCCTTCTTTCGTTTCTTTTCCTTTCCTCCTATTACCTTATGAAGATATTATTCAAATTAATTCTTGCACAATTTCAATTATGTTACGCACACATTGTCCTTTATTACGGGGTAATAAAGGAATACTTTTCTCAAAGAAATTATGATAAAGCTGATACAAGAGTATTTCATTAATTAGAATTATTATTTCCTTCTCGGTTAAGGTATAGCCTATATACTCCTGATAAATGTTATTGCAAATTAAAGGTTTGGCTAAAAATTATCAATATTTGTTATTTAAAGATTTATGTATTGTTTTTAATTTGCAGATGGCCCAGTGGTTACAGTTCAGAGTACCAAGATTGGCGCAGAGAGGCGCGGGTTCGATCCCAGCTCTGTGCGTCAGTTTCTGGTCAGAATCGCCGAGGAGGCCGGGCGGTTAAGCACAGCAGAATTGTAGCAGTGAGTTGCGAGTTCGAAACCTCAAAATGCTGTGAATGTTCTGCGATGTTAAGAATCGGCGACAGGCCTACGGCCTACTAAACGCGGAAACCGCTGTTATTCTTATTTTATATTAAGATAATTTTCTCTGAACAGAAGGCATGTGTACCGTCTTGTTGCAGGTGGTTTAGTTGACTTGGAGCCTCCGGCCCCACAGCGCGCGTCTTCGAGAACATGAGCAGCAACGACCCTTGGGGGTGAGATTTGAAATGGATGCTGCCTCCGTCCTGTTGGAATATTCAGTATGAACATTCAGTTTTCAATTTAGAACCGTCTTTATGTAGCATTGCAGCCGTACCATCAAAACTCGCTTAAGGAAGCGCAACGGACTAAGCAAACGTAGTGTACTAAGTACGTGTAGCAGCCTATAAGTACACGTAGCACCCTAAGTACACGTTTCAGCCTAAGTACACGTAGCGGCCGAAGTACACGTAGCGGCCCAAGTACACGTAGCGGCCGATTTCTCGTCAGTGATTGGTGAGTCTAACTTAGAAAGCGGTCAGTCACTATATGGCTGACGGAGTTACAAACTCATACCTAGTTTTGATAGTACGGCAAGCTGATTTATGCAGGCTGGTTTCAGAAGCATTTTACCTGCTCATTTGAGACCCAAAATATGATCACAGTTTACGCAGAAGTTAATTTTCCCATACCATCGTATCCATGCTACCATGCATTCGAAACCATCGTATCCATGCTACCATGCATTCGAAACCATCGTATCCATGCTACAATGCATTTGAAACCATCGTATCCATGCTACCATGCATTCGAAACCATCGTATCCATGCTACCATGCATTCGAAACCATCGTATCCATGCTACCATGCATTCGAAACCATCGTATCCATGCTACAATGCATTTGAAACCATCGTATCCATGCTACCATGCATTCGAAACCATCGTATCCATGCTACCATGCATTCGAAACCATCGTATCCATGCTACAATGCATTCGAAACCATCGTATCCATGCTACAATGCATTCGAATCGCAGCGACACTCCTGTCGCTTCAGGCCAATTTTTTTTTTCATTTTGGAAGAACCAAATGCGAGAAATACGAGACGATCCGTGAAGTAATATTATCATTTGGCAATTAAGATAACTGGGAATATAGGTTAACCAGCTACAGGGGTTAACTCGCTGAGCCCTAGTAATTATATTAATTAATTATTCACACACAATCTATGGTGCAACGTCTGACTATCTTGCTTATTACGTATATTTCTTCGATCCACCATGAGATTGAAAACTTGAAAGTTCTGCTAATTTTTTGTAAATTTTCTTCCACTTTTTCTAAAATTTGTTAATTTCGAATTTCCGTATATAAGTAACTGTATAAAATTTAATTTGATAATCTGCTATGCGTATCTGTTCTCAACTTTACTGACAAATATTTCTCTAAAAACAATTTCTTGTCCTAGATAATCACTACTAAATAACAATTTCCGACATGATATATTAATTTCATTCAGGCATTTGACAGTTGAAACAAAATAAAGGCGTTTATAGGTTAAATAATATGCGTTTAAAAATTACTTTTTAAACACAACACTTCTGAACAATCCAGTGTCTTGGATGTTACACATGTGCAATGAATTTCTAATTTCATTTTCAGATACTGAAAAAAATTATTCTTCAAATTTATTTAAAAATTAAAATTTTTGTAAATTCTAAAAATTATTTGTTCTGTCAACTGATTCATGCATTGTCTCTGACTTTATGCAATTGTGCAAAATTTCAGATCAATTGGACAGGTCAAATTGTGTCATATATAGATTATAAGATTTGTAGGAGACGAAATTATTTTTTAATTTTTTTTTTAATACTGAAAAAAAAAAATTATATTTTTTTTAATTTATAAATTTTATATTCTGTCAATTGATTCATGCATTGTCTCCAACTTTACGCAAGTGTGCCAAATTTCAAATTGATTGGACAGGTAGAAGTGTGTTAAAGATCGATTATAAGATTTGTAGCAGACAGACAGACAGACAGACAGACAGACAGACAAACAAGAAGTGAAGTTAAAGAGAAGTGTTGTAATAAAAATATAAATTAGCGCCCATCCTAACCTGGGTGTGAGCATGCGTGCGCACGGTGACAGAACGCGTGCGGACATTAATGATCCTCGCTACGGTGGCCGGAGACGCGAGCTGGAACACGAGCCAGCCTGAGGACGGGTCAGAGACCAGCTGTGTGTTGCTTACGTTTGTGTCCTGAACCTGGGTTGCGTGCGCACGGTGACAGAACGCGTGCGGACATTAATTAACCTGGGTGTGAGCGTGCGTGCGCACGGTGACAGAACGCGTGCGGACATTAATGATCCTCGCGACGCTGGCCGGAGACGCGAGCTGGAACGCGAGCCAGCCTGAGGACGGGTCAGAGACCAGCTGTGTGTTGCTTACGTTTGTGTCCTGAACCTGGGCTGTCACCTGCACATTCAAAATAGTTTTATTATTTTAAATGTTAAATATTTAAGGTTATTAAATAAAATGCATGAATTATTTTAGGTTTTATAAACCTCTGAAGTAAAAACAAAGGATTTTTTAGGTTCTTTCTATACCTCAAAGTGAATTTTTTAACAGATCTCTAGAATGTTTTCAGTTATAAACGTCGGAAGTTTCTATAGATGCTACTTTAATTACTTTTTATTACTAGTCAGTTGTTTTAGAAAATGTCCAGCGCTTCATTAAAAGCCCAATGAAAATTAATTTTTGGTGGTAGGTAATTTTATTCAATTTTTTTCAATAAAAAGTAATTTTTCTGCACTATCCTCACCTTCAGTAGCTGATGATGGAGGGCGTGGTGGTGATGTATGTGGTGGTGATGCACTATCCTCACCTTCAGTAGCTGATGATGGAGGGTGTGGTGGTGATGTATGTGGTGGTGATGCACTATCCTCACCTTCAGTAGCTGATGATGGAGGGTGTGATGGTGATGTATGTGGTGGTGATGAAGGTGGAACTCTACACCAACCACCTGCTCGTCTTGCTGCTGCGTGGGGAGCATGAAAAGGAACTCGTTCGTTCCTCCGCCTATGACAAAAAACAAAAGAAATATGTTTAACGAAATAATTATAGGTTGAATTGAATTGAATAAATAATATTCGATGGCCAACAACATTCTTATTTTGAGCAGCAACATTCGTAAGGAACAGAAACATTTGCAATGCAGAGCAGTATTCGTGTTTTGGTTCGATTATTTTTCCTTTATAATTCAGAGAGCTAGGAACATATCAAAACCTCTCTACAAATAAACCGACTACCGAAACAACTTTAACAGCTATTTTAACCTTAACTTCTTTTAACTTTAACAATGACCTATAGAGGTGATGGCGGTGATGGTGGTCGCCCCATAGCGCAGTCCCTCATCTGATGAGGGATCCTGCGACCATCTGGAGTACAGGTCGAGCATGGCTTGAGGGGGGACCATTCTACGCCCCTCTCGTCCCGGTACATCCAACTTCTGTAAATAAAAATGAATCTGAATTTAATGAATATGTTCCTAATATTAGCAAATATGTTCTTGCAATTATAATTCATATTTTAAAATATATTCGTGAAGAGAACTTGAAGAACACTGCAATAATTTTTTTGGATTCGCATTCAACTGCTACAGGTCTATTAATTCTCCTGGGAATGAATAGAAGATCTATTTCCCACTCGTTGCGTTTTAGGACTTAAAAATAATTAAAATTCTTGTAATTCAAATTAGACATTTCAGATGTCTATCCTATAAAAATAGCAACAAGCATCTGCGATTAAACTATACATACCTAGCACGCCCGGAAATTCACCTGCAGTAGTTCGTCCGTAGATGGAAAAGGTAAGCTTATCCCCTGCACTGTTACAACCAACAGCAAAATAGCGATCCACCTGACATTCCTTTCCATTTTCAGAATCAGCTGTTATCTTCTGTTATAAACACACAAAAACAGCAGTCCCGTGCTTTAGAATGTTATGTGATTATATAGACGCTATCTTAAAGTCGAATAGGTAAAATCGCGATAGTTTCAAATACGATTGGAATATCAATTTGCACTCACAATCTTAAATGTTTTGAAGCTTTCAGAGAGTAAAACGTCTGTAAAAGTTGCAACTAATTTACAAGCGAGACTTACAGAACTATATTGTAATGCTGTGCACATTGAATTAATTCGATTCGTATTTACTCAGTTAAAATTTAAAATCTAAAAAAGTTGATAATGATGTGTTGAGGCAACCGATACATTACCTAAAACTAAGATAAATTGTCATCCATATTTACATTAATGACCAATACAGAGCAAGCTTTAAACTAACCGTACTGAACCACTGATGCCGTGCAAAGTTACATTAAATATTTAAATTTACCGGGAAAGTAGTTATATGCAAAATTTCAAAATCACGGTATGAATAAATTCATATCAAACATTGACGTTTTTTGAGTCTCTGAGACTAAAATTAATTTCACTGGATATGAAAATTAATGTGGCAGCGCTAACAGAAAAAGTTGAAACCCAAATGTGAGTGCACCTGATCAATGTAAATGAGAACAAAAACATTGAGCGAAAAGATCTCGATCTGAACAAGAAATATTAGCTGCTTTCTCCCGACGCAATGCAAAGTTTGGGCTTGCAGAGCGCAGTCCTAAGGCCTGTCCACGCAGGAAGGAAGCTAGGCACGGAAAGCGGAATTTGCGTTTCCTGAAACCAGACAGTTGGGTAAACAGACGGGCCTGTCGAAGCCCTAGACCGGTTTGTGGCGACGACGAGAGTTGTCTGTCTGTCACCGGCTCGGATGCCTGCAGGTGATTGCAGAGACCCGCAATCAGTGACAAGGTTTATAGCAAGAGTTGCTGGCGCCGCTAAAATCTTGGCGCCATCACCCAGCCTGTATGCAACGTGCCAAGATTTCCGAACCGACGTGAAACCGAACACGAGGTAAATGTTTTGGGTCACACGAAAATTAATAACCTGTGTCTTCGATGTGTATGCCAGGAACAGACGGTGTAGGATCTTCTTTTGTGAAACCAATTTGAATTGACTTCTCTTGTTCGATGCCCTATATAGTTCAATGTCAAAGTTGACTACCCAAGTTTAATTGAATGTCCAAGTAAGATGCTCATATTTAAATAACAACTACCTAGAATGTGAGATCATTGTGAAATATCACAAATTTTAGGTTGATCACCAGTGAACTATATACCAACTAATACAATCTATAACAATCCTCAGCCTAAGGACCCTCCCTACAACATAGAAGCCGCGGCTGTAGGATTCACTTGACCCTGGGATGACAGGATTTATTGACCCTGGGATGACAGGATTTACCTGCGCGACGAAGCTATCAATAAGGAGTCTGGACCGAACACTTGAGCATTGTTTTCGGGTGGTCAGATATTGGGAGGAGATTAATTAACTTGAGAACAACTAAATATAAATGTGCAATTCGCGTGTGATCTCATACTATAGCTGGTATTTATCCACGAAATCGATCAATTTCGCCGACTGGCCGACTATAACGAGGAACCAGACACTTGCACATTGTGTACATGATATAAATGAGAAAATAAAATTTCATTGCTTATCCTGTGTTGTATAGTTGTATTTGAGTCATGACTGTTCATACGTAACAGTGAGTCAAATATGAAACATTCTATTTATTTTCACTGGAATCTCTCCAATCCTCACAAACACCTACACTTGCATAAATGAAATTTGTAATTGCGTCACCTCATGCGCTATAACAACCTGTGTTCCTAAAAGGCAGTTTAGTATGTCATGTTTTTTTCTACTTATTTGTCAATATGTATGTGTATTTGCGCACAGTCTTGAATTCCAGTAAATTTACTGTAGCTGGAATTCAGGAATTCCAGGATAAATCTGCAGTTGCAACATGTGAAAGCTTCGATTCGTACAAGAAGAAATCCTTGACAAAGTTGAGTTTGTACAGCACAGACCGACCTCTTCAGTTCCAAGCCCAGGTCGTCGCACCACAAAAACAATTTCCATGATTAAATAAGGAGAAGAAATTTTAATTAAAGGCACATGCCATTTAGAAACTCCACGACAGATGTCTTTGCTGGTCCGGTCAACGAAAGTTCCATCGTACTCCTTACTTGGATACTGATATGATTTATGCATATCAGTCTAATATAATCAGTATCAGTAGTAAATCTTAAGCAATAAAAATAATATTAATGGTTATAATAATTGAAGAATAAAAATTAATTAATAATTACTGTTACTATCCTTAGTACGCGAACAATATGATTTGTGCGTCAATATAATTGGCCTTTTTGGATGAAATTGCCAAGTAAATGTATCTTTCATTCTCCGAAATTCAGCAAATTATAGGAAGTGGAGAATTTTTGGAGTGAATTGCAAATGCCAGAAAATAAATCCCATCTAATATTTTTACCGTTTATAACGACAGTTCAGTATCAACCCCTTCCGTGTGACATTCAGCTTGTTATTTTTTGCATCAGTAATTTTCTATTAACTTAAAACACGACAATTTGACTAAAAACAAAAATATGTAACTTCGGATCGAAATAAAGCACAGGGTATATTAAATATTTAGCGTTATTTGCCAGTCTCGAAATATTCTCAAAAATTTTCTCAATTTCTTTAATATTTTTAAAGAAAGATTCTAAATTGTTTTAATAAATAATTGAGTCAAAATTTAGACTTTAGACGAATGTCCAAACAAGATTACGAAGTATTCCGTGGTTCATTTCCTATATATTGGAATTCCCCTACAATTTTATCGTTATTGACAGTATCTTAGATGAACTGCATAGCAAGTTTAATGGGACATTAGGAAGATAAGATGTAGAATGATTCCCTCACAATCTATAATATACGCGATCGTCCTAATAATGAGGAGACCTCACAATATATAGATAGGACTCGTCTTAGTGAGAAGCCCTCACAATATATAGATAGGACTCGTCGTAGTGAGGAGCCCTCGCAATATATAGATAGGACTCGTTGTCTTAGTGAGGAGACCTCACAATATATAGATAGGACTCGTTGTCTTAGTGAGGAGCCCTCACAATATATAGATAGGACTCGTCTTAGTGAGAAGCCCTCACAATATATAGGAATATATAAAGGGAGTCCCCGTCCTAGTGAATTCGATGCCAATTTTATTAATAGGCCACTCACGTGCCTCATTCACGGCATTCATTGAATTCTTATACACAACCTCGCTGTAAATACCCTCTCCGTGGGACCCACTATTTGCGATATGTTTTATGCACTCATAGTAATGAGTGTGACTTGAAACAATAACTGATGCACACTCTGCCCATCTTGACCAATTTTGCCCTGCAAAAGGGCGTGATAATGGATTTATTTACTTTTCTGTACAAAATTACCACTTATGTTTCTGAGTATAGCAGCCCTCATTAGACTCAGTGTCAGAACACAGCAACAAGCCACTAGTTAGCGTAAGTGCAACAGCGATATCTTAGCGTCAACTCTAATTAAAATCTCATTAGTCAAATAAAATCTCATTAGTTTGCGAGGCTAGCCTGGTGCAATTTTGGGCTATTCGTAATCGTGTCTTTATTTTGAGACTATTTAATTGCACTTTGAATATTTGTGTGATCAGAGAGATTTTTTGTGTTACTTTATGTATATGATACTTTTTATAAATTATTAAGCAGAATTGATAATTAAACAAGCGAGGAAATTAAGATATTTAAATTACTTATATTAATAGTGCTCATGACATCCGAGTTTAATTGACTCATATATTACAGTATTAGACTAATAACAATATATATATATATGATATGGACTTAATGCTAACTTTGAGGGGCTGCTGAAGATAAGGATGGGTGAATGCGTGTTGCATGGCTGGTTGAACCATTAATTACATGAGTGTAAATGTCAGCGTTGATAAGTACAAACGACTTGTCCAAAAAGCGATGTGCTTTTGCCTTTGTGTAGATCGTCCTGACCTACTTTGGCCCGGTAAAAAGGCGTACCAGTGCTACTTGCAGCTAGTGTGTCACTATTTGTGCCATATATAACCCACCCTTTTTAATGCATTTTCTCATTTATGGAAAAAAGGCGCTATTGTGCTCGTCATGTCCGTCTGTCCGTCCGTCTGTCTGTCCGTCTGTTCGTCCGTCCGTGACCTCAAGTTTTCGTCGACGAGAAAATGCGCTCTCTGTCACTCACTGCAGTGAGTACTGACTTATATTTTTTATGTTATAAGAGTATAAATCAGAACAATTTCAATGGGTCATAGTGTCCAAATATTGATACAATTCCTGCATGTAGCACTGATATGTCATTTTTCCTGGTCAAACTGGGTCGAGATGACTCACATGGGGTGAAAAGTGTATCAGAATTTAGACAAAGTCTCACTCATTACTCTGAGCGTAAAATGATGAATGTCGTCAGTAGGCTAAAATGGAAGGTGATCGAAAATTTAATTTCAATGGTAATGCTATTAAATATTATTACAATGGTGATGCAATAAAATTTTCAGTTATAATGTTATAGTGACGTAGAGTTATATTAATTTGACAATCCTTTTCACTTTCTGTGCTACATTGAAGAATAAATTGAGTTGAATAATAATTAGGCTGCTCCCAATTCTGGCACGGGTATCACACTGCACCCGAGATGTCGATATAAATGTGCTTATATTTTGGGGCACGAAGTCCCATGGGGATTAGCGGCTACCGAGTATAGGTGAATAAACAATTTTTTTATAGACTTCGATGACGAGGACTGATATTTGTGCACATTCATTCACAAGGCGTGGTTATAAATGAGTGCGAACGATTAACGCGTCGGCGTTCGAAATGGCGCGTTCTAAATTAGACATGATGTCGTGGTCTTCGTGGGCGTAATTCAGGTCGAAAAATAATTATCTTATAGTGTTAAACTTATTTTTCAGTCAGGTAGGTATAACATTAGATATAAATTTCGTCATTTTGGACGTAAGGCGCAAGAATATATCACGTATAAACTAGCAGGTTAACCCGGCATTAACAGGAATCTATAATACGTTCAATTTTAGAATGCCGTCATCCCGCGTACAGTTGATAAAATTTTCAGACTGTATGACTGCGAATAAAGAGA